CCCCCTTCTTCTCCTCCTCCTCCTCCCCCTTCTTCTCCTCCTCCTCCTCCCCCTTCTTCTCCTCCTCCTCCTCCCCCTTCTTCTCCTTCTCCTCCTCCTCCTGCTCTTTCTCCTCCTCCTCCTTCTTCTCCTCCTTTCCCTTCTTCTTCTTCTCCTCCTTCTCCCCCTTCTTCTCCTCCTTCTCCTCCTCCCCTTCTTCTCCTTCTCCCCTTCTCCTCCTCCTTCTCTACATGCATCTCCTCCTCCTCCCTCTTCTTCTTCTCCTCCTCATCGTCCACCTTCTTGTCTTCCCCCTTCTTCTCCTCCCCCTTCTTCTCCTCCTCCTCCCCCCCCCTTCTTCTCTTTCTCCCCTTCTCCTCCTCCTCCTGCTCTTTCTCCTCCTCCTTTCCCTTCTTCTTCTTCTCCTCCTTCCCCCCCCCCCCCCCCCGCTACGTAGTTGATTATATTTACCACTTGACAGCAGACTATGCCAGACGATAACTTGTTACATTTGTTGTTCCTATCTTCTTTGTTTGATATTTTTTTTTCCTGCTTTTAAATCCCTGTAAAAGTTGATGTTTATTGATGTATTTTGTAAGCTATCTGGTGTGCTTCATCAGTTAGTACTGTTCATTGTTTCTGTTTAAACAACGGATCAACATCATGGCACAAGGCTGGTAACCCATAAGTGCTCCGTTTTACTTCTGTCTCCAGCTGGCCGATCTAATAGATGGTTGGTTGGCTAATTGGTTTAAAATTCTTTATCATGGGTTTTAAAGTCTGGTGTGTTTATTTTGATATATCCTTGACTCCCTGTGTGGGTTCTGGGTCCCATTGTGGGGTAAAAAGAATAGACCCACTGTCTCCCCAACACACGTAGTAAGAGTCGACTAATTGGTGGCTTCCTTTAAAGTTGGAGTGCATCTGCCTGAAAGGCAAGGAACCAACAGTCTGCATACAAATGAGCAAGGTCTGTAAAACTGATGCGCATGCAAAACATTCAGGTCCTATAACAAAGCCAAAGTCCAGAAATGGACAAACAACCTAGACTTTCCGCCGGGGTTTACAGCCGGTGAACGAAATCAACAAAATATCATGAACAGTAGAAAGAGTTTGCAACTGTTGAAGTTAAACTGGTAAAGAGATTTTTCTCTACCAAAGTACCATCTCTGTGGAGATTGTGCTGCTGAGCTCCCCTCCCCCTTTCCCTTTCAGAAAACTAAATAAACCAGCAGGCTAAACAAGCCCTGAAAATATAACGGGTTGAATTTCAAAAGAGTGAAGAAATAAGACAAACGTCTGGGCAACCACTAGTATCAACAGTTATAAGACAGAGAAGATGGCGCTACATTGTACACAACACACTAGTATCAACAGTTATAAGACAGAGAAGATGGCGCTACATTGGACACAACACACTAGTATCAACAGTTATAAGACAGAGAAGATGTCGTTACATTGGACACAACCCACTAGTATCAACAGTTATAAGACAGAGAAGATGGCGCCACATTGTACACAACCCACTAGTATCAACAGTTATAAGACAGAGAAGATGGCGCTACATTGTACACAACAGTTATAAGACAGAGAAGATGTCGTTACATTGGACACAACCCACTAGTATCAACAGTTATAAGACAGAGAAGATGTCGTTACATTGGACACAACACACTAGTATCAACAGTTATAAGACAGAGAAGATGGCGCTACATTGGACACAACACACTAGTATCAACAGTTATAAGACAGAGAAGATGGCGCTACATTGGACACAACCCACTAGTATCAACAGTTATAAGACAGAGAAGATGTCGTTACATTGGACACAACACACTAGTATCAACAGTTATAAGACAGAGAAGATGGCGCTACATTGTACACAACACACTAGTATCAACAGTTATAAGACAGAGAAGATGGCGCCACATTGTACACAACCCACTAGTATCAACAGTTATAAGACAGAGAAGATGGCGCTACATTGTACACAACACACTAGTATCAACAGTTATAAGACAGAGAAGATGGCGCTACATTGTACACAACACACTAGTATCAACAGTTCTAAGACAGAGAAGATGGTGCTACATTCGACACAACACACTAGTATCAACAGTTATAAGACAGAGAAGATGTCGTTACATTGGACACAACACACTAGTATCAACAGTTATAAGACAGAGAAGATGGCGCTACATTGGACACAACACATTAGTATCAACAGTTATAAGACAGAGAAGATGTCGTTACATTGGACACAACACACTAGTATCAACAGTTATAAGACAGAGAAGATGGCGCTACATTGTACACAACACACTAGTATCAACAGTTATAAGACAGAGAAGATGGCGCTACATTGGACACAACACACTAGTATCAACAGTTATAAGACAGAGAAGATGTCGTTACATTGGACACAACCCACTAGTATCAACAGTTATAAGACAGAGAAGATGTCGTTACATTGGACACAACCCACTAGTATCAACAGTTATAAGACAGAGAAGATGTCGTTACATTGGACACAACACACTAGTATCAACAGTTATAAGACAGAGAAGATGGCGCTACATTGTACACAACACACTAGTATCAACAGTTATAAGACAGAGAAGATGGCGCTACATTGGACACAACACACTAGTATCAACAGTTATAAAACAGAGAAGATGGTGCTACATTGGACACAACACACTAGTATCAACAGTTATAAGACAGAGAAGATGTCGTTACATTGGACACAACCCACTAGTATCAACAGTTATAAGACAGAGAAGATGTCGTTACATTGGACACAACACACTAGTATCAACAGTTATAAGACAGAGAAGATGGCGCTACATTGGACACAACACACTAGTATCAACAGTTATAAGACAGAGAAGATGGCGCCACATTGTACACAACACACTAGTATCAACAGTTATAAGACAGAGAAGATGGCGCTACATTGGACACAACACACTAGTATCAACAGTTATAAGACAGAGAAGATGGCGCTACATTGTACACAACACACTAGTATCAACAGTTATAAGACAGAGAAGATGGCGCTACATTGGACACAACACACTAGTATCAACAGTTATAAGACAGAGAAGATGTCGTTACATTGGACACAACACACTAGTATCAACAGTTATAAGACAGAGAAGATGGCGCTACATTGTACACAACACACTAGTATCAACAGTTATAAGACAGAGAAGATGGCGCTACATTGGGCACATCCTTAGAATAAACCTGCAGAGATTCACCAAACAGGGATTACAATGGGAAAAAAAGAGATTAGGGAGGTGGAAACGCCCAAAAGAAACCCTAAGACAAATGTTGAAGAGAGAGGCCAAGGATATAGAACTGATTGCACCGAATAGATTGGAGTGAAGGAATAGACTACGAGCCCTATGGGACATATAAAGGCACAACAGGATCATGAATGAACAGAATGTACAATACCTATGCTTTACATCAACAGAAGAGGCATATCAGTCCTTTAAATTCTTTGAATAAATCTTCTTCTTCTTCTTCATGTTCACCAGCTGTAAACTCCGGCGGAAAGTTCTAGTTGTTCTGGACTTCACTCCTGTTTCAGAACCTGAGTTTTGCATGGGCATCCGTTTTGCAAATCAGACTCATTTGTATGCAGACTGCTGGTTCCTTGCCTTTCAGGCAGATGCACTCCGACTTCGAAGAAAGCTCCCTGTTAGTTGACTCTTAGGACATGCTTTTGGATAGGCAATGGGTATATTCTTGTTTTCCAATAGGGTCCCTGAACCCAAACGGGGATTTAAATAAATGAATGAATCAATCAATTAATCAAGAGGTGACATCCCTGCACTCGGGAAATTCCCACGTATGAATTCTTTGATCTATCTGTTACAGCAGTGATTCCCAAACGTCATCCTAGGAGCCACGACCTCTTCACAGGGACGCCGCAAAATATTCAAAGATACACAATTTGTTTTTTTTAAAAATCTCTTATATGCGAATAGTCATACTCTTACTTAGGTTAGGGCGCCGTGGAAAATTTTAATTGAAAAAATGTGCCGGGACTAAGAAAAGTTTGGGAAATACTGTGCTACAGCACAAGTTGATCCGGATGATCAGCACAAAGAAAAGTCACATACAAAGCACATTCATCTCCACCCTAGGCTTGCAGTGCCACACATGGACACTCACAACAAACCAGAACAGAATATTTGTAGAAATTAGATGTTTGAGAAAGGTTGCAGGTTTGACTTGTAAAGACAACAGAAAAAAATTGGCACAAAACCAAAGATAACAACAACAAACAAAGTCAAATTTTATATGAATGTGAGACCTTGCCAGGAGGCAACAGTCTAGCCAGTCTGCTTCCAAAGTGCCTGTTGGTTTGTATGTAATCACAGTAACTTGTACAATCAGAACTAGAACTTTTCGCTTGCTGCTGAAGATGGGGACGGAGCACTTATGGGGGTCGATTCTAAATTTCAGTGTTCAACATGTAATCATTTGTTATTCTGCTTGCGGTCAATACAACATATAGGAAGGTTTGCTGTTTTTAGTCAAAACAAGTTTTTGCTTATAACAGTTGTGCAGTTTCCTCCATATATAGACTAAAAGGAGGGTAAAGTTCTGTCGCCCAGCTACTGAGTAGAGTGCATGGCATGACACTGTAAGCTATGGAATGCTTTTTTTGACTATGCCTAACATAGTTTGTATTGGGAAATGCAAATTTAGAAAAAAGCAAGTAGCCTATCACCAGAGATAACTTGCGGTACCTCATGCGATTAATTGCATGTGCAACTACTGATCTGTTGAAACTGCTGCTTCCATCATTATGAACTGCATTTATAGTGTCGGACTGTTTGTATTGGCACTTCTAATGATGGACATTCTGTGTAGTTTTCGCTGGCACAGGAACAGAGCAACTATAGGGTGACCAGTTTTCTGTGAATTTGGAGCTACAGTTGCCTGATTGTAGTTCTTCCATTGATTCTTTCAATGATTTCTTCCCTTGATTTCTTCACGTGTAGACAACGGTTAGAGCTGATGCGAGAGATGTACCACAATGAAGCAGAGATGTCACCAACCTCTCCGGAGCCCAACATTGACAGCATGACTGGAGGGGATCCGTTCTATGACCGCTTTCCATGGTTCAGGCTTGTGGGCAGGTAAGCTGTTTGATATCTTTGTTATTGTCATTTTTTAAATTTTCCTTATCTCTTACCTGCTCATCCTTCTTCTTCTTCTTTTTTGTCATCTCACTGATACCAGGTTGTAGCCCAGTGTCGTGGTTTTCTGTATTTGTCTTGCACTTCTCAGGTGGCTTGGGTGATGGATATGTTCATCTTTTTGCAGGTTTCAGCTACATAATTTTTCCATCTCTTTCTTGGTCTTCCCCTTGCCTTCCTCACAGATGTGCCACTGTAAAAAGTCTCAAATGCTGTTTCTGTCTGCTTTTCTGTTTTTTCTTTTTCTTTGCTTCAGCTTCATCTGCTCTTCCTGTTATTGTTTTAATTTCCCCCTTTTTGTTTACCGTTTTCATCTTCTCTGGTTTTTCCCTCCTTCCTTTTTCATCCTCATCTGCTCTTCCTGTTATTGTTTTAATTTCCCCCTAAACCCATGTTTCCTTTTTGTTTACCGTTTTCATCTTCTCTGGTTTCCCCCCCCCCCTTCCTTTTTCATCTTCATCTGCTCTTCCTGTTATTGTTTTAATTTCCCCCTAAACCCATGTTTCCTTTTTGTTTACCGTTTTCATCTTCTCTGGTTCCCCCCCCCCCCCCCCCCACCCCCTTCCTTTTTCATCTTCATCTGCTCTTCCTGTTATTGTTTTAATTTCCCCCTAAACCCATGTTTCCTTTTTGTTTACCGTTTTCATCTTCTCTGGTTTTCCCCCCTTCCTTTTTCATCTTCATCTGCTCTTCCTGTTCCTCTAAAATACAACTGCTATGCGAAAGATGGTTGACTGGAAGGGCCGAATGTGATACAGGCCTGCGTGGCCAATTTGTGACCCTTTTGAAAATAAAGTTTGTTTGTTTGTTCGTTCGTTCGTTCTCCCCATTCTCTCCTCTTCTTCTTCTTTTGCTCTCCTTCTTCTTCTTCTTCTTTTTCCTTCTTTTTTTTTTTCTTCTTTTTCCAACTCCTCTTCCAATAGAAACTATGTCAAGAAAAATCTTGTGTACAGACATCTAAGACTTCTGCCATTTAGTAAATGTTTAATTTTAAATAAGGCCAAAACTCACAGCGTGCGTGTGTGCGTGCATAGGTACATATGTGTGTGTGTGTGTGTGCATGTTTGTATGTATGTGGATGTGTATGTATGTGTGTATTGGGTGCCAATGTGTGTGTGTGTGTGTGTGAGTGAGTGAATGGGTTAGCATGTGTATGTGGGTGTGTGTGTGTGTGTGTGTGTGTGTGAGTAAGTGAATGGGTTAGAATGTGTGTGTGTGTGTGTGTGTGTGTGTGTGTGAGTGTGTGTGAGTAAGTGAATGGGTTAGCATGTGTATGTGTATGTGTGTGTGTGTGTGTGTGTGTGTGTGTGTGAGTAAGTGAATGGGTTAGCATGTGTATGTGTGTGTGTGTGTGTGTGTGTGTGAGTAAGTGAATGGGTTAGCATGTGTATGTGGGTGTGTGTGTGTGTGTGTGTGTGAGTAAGTGAATGGGTTAGCATGTGTATGTGTGTGTGTGTGTGTGTGTGTGTGTGTGTGTGTGTGTGTGTGTGTGTGAGTAAGTGAATGGGTTAGCATGTGTATGTGGGTGTGTGTGTGTGTGTGTGTGTGTGTGTGTGTGTGTGTGTGTGTGAGTGTGTGTGAGTAAGTGAATGGGTTAGCATGTGTATGTGTATGTGTGTGTGTGTGTGTGTGTGTGTGTGAGTAAGTGAATGGGTTCGCATGTGTATGTGTGTGTGTGTGTGTGTGTGTGTGTGTGAGTAAGTGAATGGGTTAGCATGTGTATGTGGGTGTGTGTGTGTGTGAGTAAGTGAATGGGTTAGCATGTGTATGTGGGTGTGTGTGTGTGTGTGTGTGTGTGTGTGTGTGAGTAAGTGAATGGGTTAGCATGTGTATGTGGGTGTGTGTGTGAGTAAGTGAATGGGTTAGCATGTGTATGTGGGTGTGTGTGTGTGTGTGTGAGTGTGTGTGTGTGTGTGTGTGTGTGTGAGTGAGTGAATGGGTTAGTATGTGGGTGTGTGTGTGTGTGTGTGTGTGTGTGTGTGAGTGAGTGAATGGGTTAGCATGTGTGTGTGGGTGTGTGTGTTGGTATTTTACCACCTATGCTTTTGTTTTTGACTTGATATTCATAATATGCATATTATTGCATGAACACAACGTGCTTTATTGATGAAATACAACTGCTGGGGGAGTTTGGAAGGTCTGAATGTAAAACAGGCCTGCGTGCCTAATTTGTGACCCTTTGAAAATAAAGTTTGTTGGTTCTTCTCCTCTATTTTCGTATAACAGCACAGGTTCTATGAGGTGCAGACACTTGATAGTGAACAGTCTGTCCCAAAAGTCTCGTTGTTTTGTAACTTCCTGCTCCACACAAACACTTAAAGGAGGGATAGGCATCCTATCATAATGAACTTTTATTGGCCGAAACATTTCTATGGGTATTACCATTTAACTGGTTTTAAAAAAAAAAAGGGATAACAGAAAGCTGCTCCTGTTTGGTGCATGTCAAAAGCTGAACGGCCATCTTTAAACTGTTATTATAATGTCACATTGTTTGTCTACACTGTGATGTCACATGCTGAACACTCTTGACATCCTTAACAACAATATTGACAGGTTACAAGACAAAGACATGGTTATTGTAATTTCTGTTACACTTTTAAGGTTTTCATTTGAAGTGTCTTTGTGAATGACGTCCAACCCCACCAGAAAACACCCGGTGACACAAAGTGCCACCACTGAGATGAGAATCCCCCAGGTACAAGTTCCAGAAACCTGGTTCAACCGTAAGGTTATGTTAGGACCCCTGGCTACAGCCTGGGTGGGGCTTTGAAATAACAAATAACAAAATTGAGTCCCCTACTGGGGCAAGGTTTCATCACTGTTCACCGACCATGCTTCTATAGTAACAAAGCAACAGGATAGCGTGAAATGCATCTAAATACGGCTAAAGGGTTTTAATTGTATGTAAATCGGTCAGTTTGATCAGATTTAGGTAATGTATATTCCCTTTTCACCCCCAAGAATTACTGTTCTTAGCAATCTGTAAGAAAAGTCGAGGATGAGCTATCTCGTCCTTAGCACTGAGGGCACAGAAAATGGAAGACGAGTTAACTCGTCCTTAGCAGTCTACCGGGTAGACGAGTTATCTCGTCCATAGCAGCGAAAGGGTTAAACACAATATGTGCTGATTTTACCCCTCTCTTTACTACTGCTTGGGCCTCTGATGCTAAATCCCCAGGACTGACGGAGTTAAAACAGGTGAAGCAGAGTCTTTGTAATACGACCTGTAGCTGTGCCGTGGCATATCACTGTTCCCCCCTTCTATCTCTTCATCACCCACATCCTCGTCTAATTCCACGCCAGACTCTTCTTCTTCTTCGCTACCTGGCAGTTGCACTATTTCTATTTCCAGATTTACGTCCCGCAGTAGGAACACTTCCTCTTCACTCTCATCCCTCACTGGCGACTGCGCATCAAAAATACAATAACCCAATAAAACTTTGAATATTTTTGTCAACAAGGTATATACCAGTACGGCAAGTTTGGGTCACATGATGAAAAAACTAATTTTAGAAACTTCTAGAAAAAAGGCCAGGGCCAAGCGACATCAAGTTGACGTGTACTAATTCTGTCACCAGTTAGTTTTGGTGGGAAAAGAAGGTTCTAGAGTGTTGTTAACCTAAACTTGTTTTTATTAATACACAATTTGCACAGTGCTCCCTATTTCACAGCGAGTTACTTTTCAGTCACCCTGTATGTGGCACTTAAATGCATTATCATGTTATGAAATTGTTACTTGTCTTATTGCGCCCAGGGCCTTTGTGTACCTCAGCAACCTGTTCTACCCAGTGCCCCTGGCACATCGGGTCGCCATCGTCAGTGACAAGGGGGATGTCAAAGGATATCTCCGAGTGGCCATACAGGCAATTACTGGTGAGTGTTTTTGTTTGAACTGGGTCAGAAACTGGCATCACAGTAGATGAGGCATTCCCATAAGCACTCCATTCTGGTCTTCAGCAGCCGGCTAAGAGTTCTAGCTCTGTTGGCACCAGTATGTCTGGTGCGGGTATGGGTAGTTAGTATGATGATAGTGAATTGTTTGTTTCTGCACCTAGTTGACCTAGCCATGAACCGGAGTTCACTACAACGGACAGATGACAGTGTGAACTCTTGCCCGAATGAGTGTTTCGCTTGCTAAGTCACGAGTATCGCAAGAATGCTCAACCCAACTGTGGACTGCAATAAAACTAGCTGACGGCTAGTAATTGAGATAGTTAATTTCCAGGACAGCTGACCGCAGTGACGTTGTCATAATTTGACCATTAGACCATACTATTAGTGTTAGGTACAGTAGCAGTACTCTTGCTTTATACCGCGTCTCAGAGCTATGTTTTGTGTGAAGCTTTTTGCGTGGGTAGCAGGTTAGGTAATATTGTCAGTATGATAGCTAGGGTTGATTTGTATTGGTTATGGTGATTTGATCTATTCTCACTCAGTTTGCCCGGCACCCGGCAGACACGGCTCGATCCTGGAACTGAGTTCAGTTTCGGAGGTAAGAACTGTATGGAAACGGCGTGGGTTTGGTCCAAGTATTATCCATGGGAACGTGATAGAAGTGAGAGGTGATTTGTAAAGCCCTCAAGGCCTTTGATTCGGATAGGAGTACCAACGAAATCTGAGGTTAACTGCGTGCATTTATATTGTTCTTTCCATTAAAGATTGTGTGCATCTGTGGCTTAGGCATTGCAAATGTACTTTGTAATGCCGGAGTGCTGGGTTCGATCCCAGCTGCGGACGGTTTGTTTCGCGTTGGTTTCAACACTGGTACCAAGAGCTGACTGTTTAGTAGCAGTGGCAAACTACTGAACGTAAAATTTCGTCTAGAAAAACCTCAACGGCCAAAAAAGAATTCTGGGGTTGGTTCTGCAATATCCTATAAAGGAATGCAACTGACAAACTTTGTGGGGGTGAAAGGGTTAATTAGTACCATTTCTTTGATGTTCCCAGAAAAAGACGACCATCAAGAGTACACACCCGGCCTCAAACAGTCGGGCAATGCCAAAATCACTTTCAATGACGAGGAGTATTTTAAGAAGGTAAGTGTTGAATATTTGTTGAATTAAGAACTGACATCATAGCACTTGGGACACTCCCATAAGTGATGTGTTCACATCTTCAGCAGCATGCAAAGAGTTCAAACTCCCATGGCACCAGTAACTGTTTGATTGTACATCCATCTTGCCTTTCCCTTGAGTGTTGAGCGTAGGCCAAGATCCCCTGGTAACTCCCTGCAGCGCCATTCTCCTCAGACCGTAAGGATCCTATTGTGCCTTCCACACTGCTCACTCGCTCTAAAAGGGCCCTCACAACATATATCAAGAAAAGATTTAAAACCGAACAAAAAGTATATTAGCAAGCTTCACAATTAACAGATACAAACAAAACGTGAACGTTGCGGCTATGGATCCTTCATCAGCACATACAAATCAAACAATACTACACAACTACACAAAATCACTTAGCTGGTATCTCAAAGCAGCCGGGTCGATGGATTCTCAGCAGAATGCGTACACGTGGGATGGGAGAATAAATACCCCTGTAAATACCAGGGGCCATAACTGAGATAATACTGTGAGGGCAGTTATGTCCCCTAGGATTTAGCTTGTCAAACATTAGTTCACCACCAGGTGGAGCAGCACCAGCCAGTCCATCTGCCTGCTCATTTTCCAACACACCAGCATGACTTGAAGAGAATATCCAAAGGATGCCCGAAGAACTACCCGAGACCTCTGAAGCGATACCCGAAGAACTACCCGAGACCTCTGAAGCGATACCCGAAGAACTACCCGAGTCCTCTGAAGCGATACCCGAAGAACTACCCGAGTCCTCTGAAGCGATACCCGAAGAACTACCCGAGACCTCTGAAGCGATGCTTGCCTTTCTGCACAGAGCATGCCTGTCTCCACCTTTAAGATAATTTTCCAGGCAGACCTACGATCACTTGGAGTCACTAACTGGAAAGATTGATTTGATTTGATTTAAGAACCGACATCACAGCACTTGGGGCATTCCCATAAGTGCTCCATCCCCATCTTCAGCAGCCAACAAAGAGTTTCGATACTAATCGTGCCAGTAGTATTCTGATTAAACGTCCGTCTTGCCTTTCCTCTGAGCCTTGAGCATCTGCCAGAACCTTTCGTCACTCCCCACTGCATCAATCTCACCAGACTGGTGATCCATCTGCTCCTCCGAACTGTACACGCTATCCCACAAGGCACTAACCACGTCTGCCTTATTATGTATCAGTATTCCACCAAGTTGTGCAGAGCCAGCCAGTCTGTCCGGCTGTTCATTCGCCAACACACCGGCGCGCCCCGGTGAAAAATACAGACAGTACTCCTCACCCGAGTCCTCCGCAGCGAAAAACTAACTGGAAAGAGAAGACCAGAGATGAATGGAGGCGGGGGAAATCTGCAGCTATAAACCTCAGGGGCTTGGAGTACTGAAGAAGAAGACGGTGAATGTTATGAGAGCTCTTGTAAATGTTAGTTAGTTAGTTAGTTAGTTAGTCAGTCAGTCAGTCAGTCAGTCAGTTAGTTAGCTAGTTAGTTAGTTAGTTGTGTATCCTTTGCAGGACGTTGTAAATCTAACCCGAGCATATTTTGGCCATTGTGGTTTTTTTCTAGGCAAATTTCACATTCAATAGTTTGCCATTGCTTTCTGAACAGTTAGCTCTCCGTACCACTGTCGAAACCAATGCAAGACAAACCTTTTGCAGCTATGATTGGACCTGGCACTCCGGCATTACGAAGCGTGTTCACAGTGCCTAAGCCACAGATGCAGACAAAATGTGACTGAACCTGACGGAAAAAAAAAAATGAAAAAAACTTTTCCGTGTAATTCCATTGTGTATTTTCTGAACACAGAAATGCGTCCATGCCACCAGCTTCCCACTCCCGGTCGGCGTCAGTAAGCCGGTGGAGGATGTTATCTCTTCTTTGGAAGAGCTGCGGATTGTGGAGGGCGAGGGACAAGCCACGGATAACTTTCTACTGGCATCAGGTTGGTAGTTTTTTTAATAAGCAGCTTTACAGGCCTACCCTAATGTCTTTATTGTATGAGATAATTGATACAGCTACCATGTTATCTAGTGTATGCTTCTGTCTTTCTACTTCTTTCTATGAGTGTCGATCAATACATTGTGTCTTTATTAATGATATATCTATAATATTGATACAGCTACCATGTTATCTAGTGTATGCTTCTGTCTTTCTACTTCTTTCTATGAGTGTCGATCAATATATTGTGTCTTTATTAATGATATATCTATAATATTGATACAGCTACCATGTTATCTAGTGTATGCTTCTGTCTTTCTACTTCTTTCTATGAGTGTCGATCAATACATTGTGTCTTTATTAATGATATATCTATAATATTGATACAGCTACCATGTTATCTAGTGTATGCTTCTGTCCATTGCCTCTTTATTAATAATATATCTATAATATTGATCCAGCTACCTTGTTTCCCCGAAAATAACGCATACGCCAAAAATATGCTGTAGCCTGATTTTCAGGATGTTTTCAACGTAAGCCACACCCCAAAGTAATCTCTACTTAAGAAGATCTTCTGCTAGAATTCAGGACAGGAAATGGCTCATTTAAGGGAGGCTTTATTGTTGGACTTGAGAGACTAGGGCAAACGGTTCTACCAAAAATTGAGTTGCAAAAATTCAGGCCGGAATTTGGGATTTGGAGTTTTAATTATGTTCCAGAAGACTATGACATGATTGTGTTTAAATTTAAAATTTTTACCCCCCAAAAATTGTGATTTTTTAAATCTGAAAAATAAAAATAAAAAAGTCATCATCATCATCATCATGTTTCCACTTCTGCCATTAAGCGTTGTGGGGAGGAACAGTTTGCGATCCATTGCTTGATGGGCAGCAATTGCTGTTGTCATTCTCTTTCAATGTAGAAGCCCTTTAATGTCATCAATCCATGTTCTCCCAGGGCCGCCTCTTGCTTTCACTTCAGATCTGTTCCTGTGTAGCGCCTGTGTTGGTAGTTGTTCTGGCTGCATTCTTACTAAGTGACCAAACCATTCGATCTTCTGTTTCTCAGTGAATCTGCTACATGGTGTTACTCCTACAGTCTGTCTGATAATATCATTTCTAACTTTGTCTCCGATTGTTAAGCTGGCGGCTTTCCTCAGGCATCTCAATTTCACAGGTGTTAATTTTTATGTAGGTTAGCCTTTGATAATGTCCAAGTCTGGCACTGGTAGCACAGGGTTGGTATGAATATACTGTTTATAATCTGTTTCTTGGTGCTCATACTTGTGTTCTGATGTCTTAATATGTGCTTCATTTAGTAAATAAGGGCTTTGGCTCATTGGCATCTTGTTTCTGTTTCCAGATCTATTCTCCCGTCCTCCGAGAATATACTTTCTAGATTTTTAAATTCTTTAATTTGCTTCAGACAAGTACAGTTCAACCCGACATTTATAATACATCTGCCAAAAATATGCGAGAGAGAAGAGGATACACGAGACGAAATAAAAATTGGAAGCTATAGTTACCATGCCCTGAATCAAATCTGCCACTTTACTGATTTGATTTGATTCAAGAACCGACATCACAGTACTCAGGGCATTCCCATAAGCGCTCCGTTCCCATCTTCAGCAGCCAGCGAAGAGTTCCGATACTAATGGTGCCAGTAGCATTCTGATTAAACGTCCGTCCTGCCTTTCCTCTGAGCCTCGAGCATCTGCCAGAACCCCTCGTCACCCCCAACTGCATCAATCTCCCCAGCCTGTGGTGATCCACTGTACTTTGAAGTCAGAGTATGTCTTCCTAAGAGGCGAGGAACCAGCAGCCTGCATACAGTAAACCAGATCTGTTAAACGGATATGCACGCAAAGCTCAAGTTCTGAAACAAGACCAAAGTCCAGAAGTGGACGAACAACCATAAATTTCTGCCAGAGTTTACAGCTGGTGAACGCGAAGAAGAACCTGTGACCTCCAAGTGAGGACCATACCTTGCTGGAGAAGCAAGTGTACTAAGACACATGACCAGTTTCAGCGACTCTTGCGTAGAGTTGACTGGCAGCCATTTAAGCCCATTGGAACACTTCCAATCCAGGACTCAATCCTGAAGACCCAGTCAAACGTCCTCACACGAAAGTAACAGACGATTTTATTAAAATTGTGTACTTTACACAACTCAGAATTTCTTGGACAAAGAAGAGGAGAAATATTGACATCTTGAAAGATCTGAACATCAAGGAAGATTGGCTAATAAACAGCATCCTTTCTCGGAAGCTGAAATACTTTTTTCATATCAAGCGCCACGATGGATTGGAAAAAAACTATAGCAGAAGACATGGTACCAGGAAGGAGGGGCAGGGGCCGACCGACACAAAGATGGGCACAGGATATAAGTGACTCCTTGAATATGAAAGTATATGAGGCAGGAAAACTGGCGAGAGACCGAGTTTCTTTCAGGCAGACCGTGACGAGAGCGACTTTCTGCAAAGGACCTGCTACATGATGATGATGACTTTACACAATAGACTTTACACAATAGACTCTACTTAGGTTAAAGTTTAGGTTTAGGCGATGGATCAACATCATGGCACAAAGGTAGTAACCCATAAGTGCTCCGTTCTACTTCTGACTCAAGCCTGAGTCTGAAGAATCTCAGCGCAGTGCATAAACTCCGTAGCACCGGCCAGGATCCTGAAATACTCTGCAGTCATATGTACAAGAAATTCAAGACTGGGAATTCAGAATTTTGTCCATGTGGACAGGCTCCATAGAATACTCAACAAGTGCTGCAGACATGTTCTCTACATGTAGGAGAGAGATCCCAGGTTTGGCCGGTTTGTATTCTAATGGAAACCAAACTGCATGGAATAGTGGAAGATATAGTCGTACCACAGAATTCATAGAAAACAACTGTCAGGGAAAAGATTTTTAAAAATTATTCAAGAGTTGAGTTGAGTAAAGAATTGACAACACATCACTCGGGGCATTCCCATGTGCGCTTCATCCTCATCTTCAGCAGCCAGCGCAGAGTTCCAGTACTGATGGTACTGGTCACAATCTGGTAATAAGTCCGTCTTGCTTTTCCTCTGAGTGTTGTGAGCCGGCCAGGCCTTCTGGTTACACCCAGGTGCCTCATTCTCTCCAGACCATAATAATCTTGTTTCTCTACTGATTCCATTGCTTGTTTCCAAAGGGCCTTGACCACATCTGCTTTGTCATGTATCAGTTCACCACCCAGTAGTTCAGATCCAGCCAATCTGTCTGCCCATTCATTACCCACTACGCCGCCATGGCCTGAAGAAAAGATTCAAAGTATGCTCACCACCTGTGACCTTCCCAGCGAATCTTGCTCGAAGCATCCATGTCTTCACCTTTCTCAACATGCTTTCAGAGTCTGTTACGATTACGACATGTGTATGCATCTTGTTCTCTAGCCACCGGAGAGCTGCAGTTACCGCCTCCACCTCCATTCTCACGCTAGATGTTAGTTAGTTAGTTAGTTAGTTAGTTAGTTAGTTAGTTAGTTAGTTAGTTAGTTAGTTAGTTAGTTAGTTAGTTAGTTAGTTGGGTTATCATCATAGCACTCCGGACATGTCCATAGGTGCTCAGATCCTCCCCTCAGTATGAACCCCTACGTCCGATGGCTAATAGTACCAGTTCTATGTTGATTAACAAGTCTTCTGGCGTGTCTGGTGTGCGTCTCGTTTTTTGCTGTGCCGATCTTAATTCCCAAGTCTGCCATTCTGGCGAGTGATGTGGATTCACTGCCACCAAAGTCCTCTATCCTTCCCATTTCTCTGAGGGCATTGATAATATCAGCATGATCCATAGGCTGACCTTCGGTAGTGATAGCGGATCCAGCCAACCTGTCAGCTCTTTCATTTCCATCGACGCCTGTGTGTCCCGGAACAAAAATAGATGATGTGATGTCGTATGGTAGGCTGTCTCGCACTAAAGATTTTCCATGGCTTTCGCTATAAACCCCCAAGCACTTCTCTTTCCTGTCAACACTGAACCATGTCTATAGATAATCCGGCTCAGTGTGATCATAACCCAACAGAGATCAGACATTTCCTCTTATTTAGTTAGAAATGTTTTGCTGAACTGTCAAAAATCTCTGTCTTCTGCTTCCATACATAGAAAACCAACTGCTGAATGGAGACAATAAGAACCGGGAGAAATCGGATAATGTGGATTACTGCCCGGAAATTAAAACCGTGGACCTGCCGGAGCATCTGACCATTGGCAGCCAGTTCCAGTTTAGAGTGACTATTCTGCAGGCCTCGAACATTTCCCCGGAGTATGCAGATATATTCTGTCAGTTCAAGTGAGTGTTAGACTGTTTTTACTGAGAGAGAGAGAGAGAGAGAGAGAGAGAGAGAGAGAGAGAGAGAGAGAGAGAGAGAGAGAGAGAGAGAGAAGAATGACCAGTGCGGTCAGTTCCGCCCAAGAGTAATTAAAATTGAAAGAGGTCGGTGTAACTGAGACCAACAAGCTCGTCTTCGGACAAGTGACGGGTCCAATGTGGGTCAAAAACAGGGGCCAGGGAACACAAGGATATCTGCATCTGGGATGTAGGGGATAAACAGCAGGTCTTTTTATATTTAAATTCACAAATTTATTTTCCATATTTGACTTCATTGAATATTCTACATATTGTTTCAGCTTCTTACATCGCCATGATGAAGCATTCTCTACAGAGCCACTGAAGAACTCTGGAAAAGGCTCCCCCCTTGGGTTTTATCATGTCCAGAATGTAAGTACGGATGCTTCAAATAAACTTGCTTTAAAAATTTGCATTGGGTAATCTTTACGGTTGGACCTACAAACACTTTCAGTCACCAACTGGAAATCGAGGGCAAGTCACAGAGATGAAGGGAGGCGGGTGATATCTGCAACAATGAACCTGAAAGGCGGAGAAGGCTTGAGAAAAAGAAGTAGTCTCTGCTTTGAAAGGGAAGATAGGTTTCAGAAGTCGCACTTCAACTCCCTCACCTGGATCTACACACCTGGGCTTGCTGGTAAAAAGGAAAATAAGCTGATCTTCTTCTCTATTCTTATTCTGCATTTCAGCTTAAGGTTGTGAAGCGGCATCAGGTATTCCTCTTCTTCTTCTTCTCCTCCTCCTCCTCTTCCTCATTCTACTTCATCTTGTCCTTCTTCTGCTTCTTCTTCTGCTGCTTCTTCTTCTCCTGGACTGTGTGTGTGCATGTATATCCATAAATGTATGTGTGTGTCCCCTGTGTGGGTTCGGGGGGCCCCATTGTGGGGAAAACAAGAATAGACTCACTGCCTCCCCATAAGCATGTCGTAAGAGTCGACTAATTGGGGAGCTTCCTTTGAAGTCAGAGTGCATCTGCCGGAGAGGCAAGGAACCAACAGTTTGTATTCAAGAGAATGAGATCTGTAAAACTGATGCACACGCAACACTCAGGTTCTGGAGCAGGACTGCAGTTCAGTAATGGACGAGCAACCAGAACTTTCCGCTAGAGTGTACAGCTGGTGAACGCGAAGAAGAAGAAGTATGTGTGTGTGTTTTCTGTTTGGGCATTTATGTCTATGTATGTGTTTTCTGTTTGTGCATTTATGTGTATGTGTGTGTGTGTGCTTCATGTTTGTGTGTGTATGTAGATGCGTGTGTGTATGTATTACTTATGTCTGTATATGAGTGTGCATGTATGAGAACGTAGGAGTATGTATACGTGTGTATGAGTGTGTACGATTGTGTACACATGATGTGTGTATGCATTATTTTATAATTTATGTTTCTTTATTATATCCATAACATGCATTATTGATAACAGTGCTTAGAAGGGCCGAATGTCAGACGGGCCTGTGTGCCCAATTTGTAACCCTTTGAAAATAAAGTTTGTTCGTTCGTTCCTTCGTTCTCCTCCTCCTCCTCCTTCTTAGCTTTCACCAACTGTAAACTCAGGCAGACATTTCTGGTTGTTTGGCCACTTCTGGAAATCAGTCTTGTTCCTGAACTTCAGTTTTATATATACCTGTGTTTTACAAATCAGACTTATTTGTATGCACACTGTTAGTTCCTCGCCTCTGAGGCAGAGGCACTTTGAAGGAAGCGCACTCATTAGATGCCTCTTATGACATGCTTGTTAGGAGGGCAGCGGGTCTGTTTGTGGAACATAAAGTTCCCAACGATAGGATATTAAAATTGAATATTATAAATTTAGGCTATCCTCTGAATAACGGGCACAAAAGATGGCAGCCGCAAAAACACTTAATTTGCAGTTTTCCGGCGACTACCGCCTCAGCCGAGAGTATTCCCCGCGCCGCGTGAGCGGCATAGATTGGGGCTAAACTAGATCTCCCGCAGCTTTGCTCGTGAGTTATAGCCCCACGCCGCGGGGATACTCTCGGCGGTGGCGGTAGTCACTGGAAAATGGCAAATTAAGTCGCCAAAAGTACGCAGTTGACACGTGACTGAGGCCCTGTTTTTGGCCGCCATCTTTTGTGCCCGTTATTCGGAGGATAGCCTAAATTTAATAGGATTTGTTTCATGTTCTATAGCCCTTTTGGGGCAAACAGAACTAGAAGAGAACTATGAAAAACAAAAGACATTACAAGACCTGTAGGAACAATACTTGTAATTCAGTTCATTTCATTGTGGATTGCTGCCTGGAAACTAAAATTGTGGACCTGCCGGAACATCTGACCATCGGCAGCCGGTTCCAGATTGGATTGACCATTCTGCAGGCCTCGAACATTTTCCCTTGAGCATGCGGATATTTGCTACATACATCCAGTTTTAACATATGGCTATGAATCCTGGACAATCGGTAGGCAGGCCAAACAATTTTTTGAGGCCTTAGAGATTTGGTTTTACAGAAGAATGCTTAGAATACCTTGGACAGCCAAAAAGAGCAACCAAGAGGTTTTGAAAGAGGCGGGAGCCTAAAGACAACTTATCACAGACATCAGAACGAGACAGTCATCATTTTTCGGCCATGTTATGAGAAGAGGGGAAATAGAACATGTTATGACCACTGGAAAGATCTGTGGAAGTAGTGATAGAGAAAGACAACGAGAGAAGATTCTTGACAGTCTTGTTGCATGGCATGGAGGTGTGTCGGCACACGAATTGATACATGCTGCAGGAGATCGTGGATTATGGAGAGGCATGATCGCCCACGCCAGTCCGCAAGGCACCTGTAGATGATGATACTGATGCAGATATATTCTGTCAGTTCAAGTGAGGGTTGGAAAAAGAAGAGATCATGTGAGAAACAAAAGAAATTACAAGAAGTTTGCTTTGAGGTGTTTGAACAGTGGATCACCCATGGGTTTAAGTAACCCATAAGTGCTTCATTCTTTCTTCTAACTTAAGTCTGAGACCGAAGAAGCTCAGCACAGTGCACAGGCTCTGTAGCACCGGAGAGGATCCTGAAATGCTTTGGGTAGATTTTTAACTCAAGATTTTTTGCCTGGGACTACTGTTAGACTACTTTTTTCGATTTACAACTGCCAAATGATTTTTTACATGTGCAACAATGCACACAGGTGTCCGATCTCACTACCCAGAGACCAGGGGGAATTACTAGAAGTCCAAGACCACGTGAAAAAGTCCCAAGACTTACCGTGTATTAAACTCGGAACCTCTAGCACTCGAGGCGGACACTGTGCCTTGCGACCACGTAGCCTTTAAGAAATTTGGAACAATTCCCATAATTAAATTTGTTGAAAAAAAACAGACTGCAATTATTTGGTCATTTAATGAGAATAAATCCAAAGATGTCAGCAACGACAGCGTACAGTATGAAAGTAGAAACACCAAGAGGTAGGGGACAACCAAGAAGAAGGTGGATTGAAGGAGTCACTGATATCTTGAGACTCCACAAGTTCACAGAGCACTGGTCATTTGAATGTGCCCAACTCAGATACCAACACCAGGAAGGATAATCCAGACAACAAATGCCTTCAGAAGTCGCATTTATCGGCTGAAAGGCACAAATATCACAGCCATGCTGAAAACGGGCACAACGTAATTAAATCTTTGGATGAACTCAAAAGAAGGATGCCAAACATCTGCTAACCTGCAACACCTAGAGACACAGAGCAGAATATGAACAACAACAACAACAACAAAATAGTAGAAAAAAGTTGTATTTTTGTTGTTGTTATTGCTGTTGTTGTTGTTGTTGGTGTTGTTGTTGTGGTTGTTGTTATTGTGGTTGTTATTGTTGTTGTTGTTATTGTTGACATTCAGATACACAGATCAACGAACACTGACTTTATGTGGTAACCATTGTCTCTTTCAGTTTACTGTGACAGTAACAAAAGCGTTCATTGACTACATCCGAACCCAGCCCCTAGTCTTTGAGGTGCTGGGACACTACCAGCAACACCCGCTGCATGAGCAGGCCAAAGATTGCCCCTAGTAAGTAGAGCATAATGTGAAAGAAAGTCAATATCTAAGTTACAAACCTTTTTCTACGCCTTCGCGCATATTGGGCATATAGGGCTAGACCTGTATTTTATAGACCAGTCGGCACTCGGTGGATAATATCATCATCAGACCAGTTGCCTTTACTTGCCAGGACTTTACTTGGTACCCAGTTAAGGCTAGGTCAGCCAGGGAGCCGAGATCATTGTTTAAAAAAAAAAAATCGGTTCCATTTGGATTTAAACCCACAACTTTGAATCCACAGGTAAGCATCTAGCTGCTATCATCATTCATCATGTGGCAGATCCTTTGCAGAAAGTCGCTGTCATCACTGTCTGCCTGAAAGAAACTCGGTCTCTCACCAGCTCTACCGTCTCAGGCACTTTCATACTCAAGGAGTCACTTATATCCTGTGCCCATCTTCGTGTCGATCGGCCCCTGCCCCTTCTTCCTGGTACCATGCCTTCTGCTATAATTTTGTCCAATCCGTCGTGGCGCTTGATATGACCAAAATATTTCAGCTTCAGAGACTGGATGCTGTTTATTAGCCAATCTTCCTTGATGTTGGGATCTTTCAAGGTGTCGGTCTGGCTGATATAAGTATGCTTAAAATGGTAGTTTATAGTTTCCACAAATGTTATTCAGTGGCAGCATCAGAGACCTTTGGTTGGTTTCACTACAATAGTGCCGATAGGCAGGAAATTATTTGCTTCTAGCCACGGTTAGCGGGTGCATTTTCTGCCATATGTGGACTGAAAGTATATAGTTCCATCGCCCAGCTACTGAATGTTTAGTGTATGGTACGACACTGTGAGCCGCAAATTTCATGTGGAGTGCTTTTTGACTGTCCCGCCTAACATGTGTGTTTTGAGCTGCATATTTGGGGAATCACAATTGGCCTGTTGCACAGTTCTAATGGTGCCTTATGCAATATTGCGTGTGCAACTGATGATCTGGTGTACTGCATGTGTCTATGATGAACTGCAATTCTAGTGGCTGAATGTTTATGTTGGCATTTCTAATGGCTCCCTTAGGCATTCTGTGTGGTTTTCACTGACTTATTAATGGAGCAACTATGGGGTGATCAGTGAAGTCGAAACCTTGAGTAACTGATTAACTTTTGATTGCTCGTTTCTTAAAGTATTATTCAGAGTTAGCCGTACCCCTGAGCACTTACTGCAGCACTGCCCTAACCTCTCCCAGCAAAAACTGGATCTGGCCCAAGGGAGCCACATTGTAAGAGAAGCTATGGGGGACCGGTGGCGACCTTAAACGCACAGTCCTGTTTGTGACCCAGATGGGACTCAGTGTTTAGCTTGACTGATGTCGAACGCAGAAGAAGAAGAAAAGTTAGTTGTAGTCAAGGTTTCAACTTCACTGCAGTCGGGTTACCCCTTACTTGCTCCGTTCCTGTGCCAGTGAAAATCAGATGAACTGTCCCTCACTGTCCGACTTGTAAGACTTTGTCGTGACACAAGCCTGAAAGATGCGCATGTGGTAAATACATAAGGCAGTTGCTAGAGGTGCCACACAAGAACAACCAACAACAGCGACAACCCTCCAGACAGCAAAAACACTGATAAGAGCTATAAACAAAGAGACTTGGTTGAACAGATGGGCCATGGGAGACACTGGAAGAGAGGTTTATAGACATATGTCTGGCCCTGATCCTAATGACAGCATTAACCATCTAACAAGAAGGGACCAGGCCACCATCTTCAGACTTAGAACGCAACATACTCCACTCAATGGACACCTAAACAGAATACAGCCACAACACTCCCCAGAGTGCCAGCTATGTAACTACCCCTACGAAACTGTTGAACACCATCTCTTTGAGTGCCCAAAACTCAGTGAGACAAGAAGAACGCTACTCCCTCCGAGACCAGACAAGTGGAACACCTTGTACGGAGGAAAAGAACAGCTTGTGAAAACATGCAAATTCCACTACATGGCATTGGGCCAAAGGGCGAAAGCTCATGCGCCGCTGGATCGATAACAACAACAACTAGAGGTGCCAAAGCCAACAGTCGCCACCAGAAATGCAGTCTGTCATTGACGGAAGTAGTCGGTCATGATAAGTTGGCCATTCAGGGGCAAAATTATTTCATAAGGTATTTTGCCAGCCCACAGGTAAATCAGCCAGCCACTATACTGAATACCATGACACAATTGCTGAGGAAATGAAAGACATTCCTCATGAAAAACTAAGCTCACTGTGCTACACCAAGCACTCAACTCAGTAGCTTAGGCAGCAAAACCGTAGGTTTCTGTCTAAATATGGAAACTGCATTAGCAAAGCGCTGTCAGAAGCAAAAATAACTTTGAAGATAAACATGCTGCCGAGCCTATCCTCCATATGGGTCTATAAGTGTCATTGAGTTGCAGACAAAGAAGACACTTGACACTGAAAACTTTATACAAAAATGTACTTGAAACTTTCAAAAAACTACACTGTATTTTAAATTTTCATTAGAAAATTTGCCAGAAATTGCTGGCTTCATAAGGGATTAAGATGGTAGTGGTTGGAGCAAATAGAGAAAATGGCAGAAACAGAGACACAAAAACTGCATACACAAAAGAGTAAAGTTAGAGTAGACAATGAGGCAGACCAAGAAGATGATGGAGAGATAATGTCCAGATAGACCTACAAACACTTGGTTTCACTAACTGGAATGAGAAGGCCAACCAGAAAGATGAATGGAGGCAGGTAATATCAGAATGGAGGCAGGTAATATCAAAATGGAGGCAGGTAATATCAGAATGGAGGCAGGTAATATCAGAATGGAGGCAGGTAACATCAGAATGGAGGCAGGTAATATCAGAATGGAGGCTGGTGATATCTGCAGTGATGAACCTAAAGGGCCCGGAATGCTGAAGAAGGCCAACCAGAGAGATGAAAGGAGGCGGGTGATATCTGCAACAATGAACCTCAATGGCACCAAATGCTGAAGGAGAAAAATAAGTATATGATTAGAAAATTTACTTTAAACCCTCTAGAGGAATTCACTTCAAAATTTGTGAATAAAAACACTTCATCCTAAATGTACTAATAATATATTTTTTGCCAGGAGACAGAGAAGATGATTAAAAAGATATATATTTAAAATTTCGTTTGATTATTTTGATTTTCAGCATCCGGCCTCCACCGAGTCGAAGTTTCCCAACCATGCCAATCTCTAAACCAGTGCCGTCATCCAAGTACGGAATCATCACACCTTCCAGGTACAACTTTGTTCATCACATGCCAGTTTGTCAGTGTTTGATATTGTTACAACAGCACATTCCAACTCAAGTTCTGAAATTTAAAGTTTAACTTCCTTGTTTGACCATTATCTGGCAGCGCTGTTATCTATCAATAAATAAGTTAACTTGATAGGAGGAGGTATTAAACATTAACTACATACAGAAAATTGATTACGACAATGTTGAATGTTGAATTAAGAATCCACATTACAGCACTCGGGACACCCCCATAAGCGCTCCGTCCTCATCTTCAGCAGAGTTGCAATTCCGATGGCACCAGTAACTATCTGATTGTATATCTGTCTCGCCCTTTCCCTGAGTGTTGGTTGACTGCCATATCCTCTGGTAACTCCTTGCAGCGCCATTCTCTTTAAACCGTAATGATCTATCTGTGCCTTCGCACTGTATGTTGTGAGGGCTCTTTGGGAGAGAGTGAACAGTGCCGAGGCACAGATAGATCATTACGGTCTGGGGAGAATAGCGCTGCGAGGAGTTACCAGGGAATCTGGCTGACGCTCAAAACTCAAGGGGAAGGGCAAGACACATCTACATCCAGACAGTTACTGGTGCCATCGGAATGACAACTTTTTGTTTGCTGCTGAAGATGGGGACAGAGCGCTTATGGGGGTGTCCCTATTGCTGTGATGTTGATTAAACATTCAGCAGATTTGATCAGGAATATTTACGATAATATTGTTTTTTTTTTGTGGGATTTTTTATGTCTGCAAGAGCAACATGGCTTGTTATTTGATATTGTCTAGAAGTTAGATTGTGCTTGAACCTAGATTATATGTGTGTTTGTTGTGAGCTTAAAAACATATATTATTTCACTTGCCTGTCCCTTTATTTGTTTCATGAATGTTGTTGATTTTTATAGTTTTTGGTCCTCGTGATATATTCAGTCCGGGGCACATGTCATGAATTATCTGTACATCCACTGCCCAGAAGGAAAGCAGTGGCAAACTATCTTCTGCAAAGCTTGCTAAGAAACTATAACAGCCGTGAAAGAGTTTTGAATATCTTGGGACAGTGATTATCAACAATGGTGACACAATGAAATAAATTAAACTATGACTATCAATTGCTCTTCAAAGACTAAAACAACTGAATAAGTTATGGAGTGGGACAGACAAAACTACAAAAATTAGATTTCTAAGAGCATGTGTCTTTTCCATTGCAACATATACCTGTGAGACCTGGACACTTACTAAACAAGCTGAACAGCGCATAAATGCCCTAGAATACAAATGTTATAGACAGGTTCTAAGAATGTCATGGGTAAAGAAGAGAACAAATGTATCCATACTTCAAGAACTGAATACGGAAGAAGGTTGTCTATTAAAGACGATAAAATTGAAATATTTCGGTCACTTGAAACGTCATGAAAGTTTAGAGAGAACAATAATGGAGGCGTATATGCCTGGGAAGAGAGGAAGAGGAAGGTCAAAGAGAAGATGGGTGCAGGATGTGTCGGATTATCTCCAGATGGGTGTCTCGGAGGCGGGACATCTTGCTTGTGATCGAGAAGTTTGCAAAGGACATGCTACTGACTGAATAATATTCAGGTGTGCTGGGTAATATGCAAGCTGATAGATTAGCTGCTGCTGTTTCTTTATGCGCGTTGAGCTACTGTATGATAAAGCAGACCTGGTGAGGGCTCTCTGGGAGCAAATGAATATTTCAGTAAAACAAACAGAGAATCCATTCATGGAAAGACTAATTCAGACGTTGGGTAAAAAGGGGTGCATAGAGGTTCTGAAAGATACTCAACATTGAGGGGGAAACATAGGTGGACTTTTAATCGGGTTGTTACTGGTACTATTAACATGTTGACGCTTTGTTGGCTACTGAAGAAGGGGACAGAGCACATATGGGAATCTCCTGAATGCTGTGATTCCGAAAAGCATTCATGTTTTTGATGTTTTGAGATCTTGTAGCTGTGTTGTTTGCTATGTTGTTTGCTATGTTGTTTGCATTTCCTGCATGTTGTAGATCATTGTATGCTCACAGTGTAAAACAGACTTGTGTTGAGTGTTTGTTTTTGTTTATTTAGTAGTAAATATTCTTTCACTACTTACTGGGGGGGGGGGGGGGGGGGGGGGGGGGGGGGGCTGTCACTTCTCCTCTGTTCTACGATTTAGAAGACATTGAGACTCTCTAATAGGGAAGAGCTACTCTATATATAGCACTGTAGGATTCAGCCTTTGTTAGGTTTGCGTTCTGTTCCTAATTTCAGAAGTCACTAGCTGTCTACTTATACCCCAGTGGAACAAAGACCCTCAGTGGACACACGCTATTGTTGTCCAGAGACCCTCAGCGGACTCACACTATGTTGTCCAGAGACCCTCAGTGGACTCACACTATGTTGTCCAGAGACCCTCAGCGGACTCACACTATGTTGTCCAGAGACCCTCAGCTAACTCACACTATGTTGTCCAGAGACCCTCAGCGGACTCACATTATGTTGTCCAGAGACCCTCAGCGGACTCACACTATGTTGTCCAGAGACCCTCAGCTAACTCACACTATGTTTCCAGAGACCCTCAGCTAACTCACACTATGTTGTCCAGAGACCCTCAGCTAACTCACACTATGTTTCCAGAGACCCTCAGTGGACTCACACTATGTTGTCCAGAGACCCTCAGCTAACTCACACTATGTTGTCCAGAGACCCTCAGCGGACTCACATTATGTTGTCCAGAGACCCTCAGCTAACTCACACTATGTTGTCCAGAGACCCTCAGCTAACTCACACTATGTTGTCCAGAGACCCTCAGTGGACTCACACTATGTTTCCAGAGACCCTCAGCAAGACTCAATGCTGTGTTGTCCAGAGACCCTCAGTGGACTCACACTGTGTTGTCTAGAGACCCTCAGCTAACTCACACTATGTTGTCCAGAGACCCTCAGCGGACTCACAATATGTTGTCCAGAGACCCTCAGCTAACTCACACTATGTTGTCCAGAGACCCTCTGTGGACTCACACTATGTTTCCAGAGACCCTCAGCAGACTCACACTATGTTGTCCAGAGACCCTCAGTGGACTCACGCTGTGTTGTCTAGAGACCCTCAGCTAACTCACACTATGTTGTCCAGAGACCCTCAGCGGACACACGCTGTGTTGTCCAGAGACCCTCAGCAGACTCACACTATGTTGTCCAGAGACCCTCAGTGGACTCACACTGTGTTGTCTAGAGACCCTCAGCTAACTCACACTATGTTGTCCAGAGACCCTCAGCGGACACACGCTGTGTTGTCCAGAGACCCTCAGCAGACTCACACTATGTTGTCCAGAGACCCTCAGCTAACTCACACTATGTTGTCCAGAGACCCTCAGCAGACTCACACTATGTTGTCCAGAGACCCTCAGTGGACTCACGCTGTGTTGTCTAGAGACCCTGAGCAGACTCACACTATGTTGTCCAGAGACCCTCAGCTAACTCACACTATGTTGTCCAGAGACCCTCAGCGGACACACGCCAGATTGTCCTGTTCTTTGCTATTGGATGCAGCTCACCCCATGGCCTCCTACCATGTTTCAACTTACTGTCCAGCCTTCTTTGTAACTTTTTTTTGTTTTTGAGGGGGGGGGGGGGGGGGGAATGCCTCTCTCTTTTTTTTTTTACCCTGTTGGGTTTCAGTGAAAGGACATTCTTGTTACGTTATTATCAGAGGATTACCAGTGGATTTTTGGGGCCAGTTTTCAATATTAAGTTGCAGTATAGTATGTGATTTATTTGATGATATGTATGTTGAGCATGTTAGAGCTTTGTGTGTCTTGAGTTGCCACTGCCTTGCTTGTTCTTCCTCATAACCCGTCGTTTGCAGTAGCCATGATGCAGGACATGAGGAAAAGGAGGATAAAGAGAAGCGGAAAGCGAGACAAAGGTAGGAGGGATTTGATACATAACACAGGCTGTTAGCAAAAATAAGTTGAAAAGTGTTGTTTTTCAGTTTATTTATCCTAGAGGCATCTCCATGTAAGTTCTGGAGCCCTATTTTTTTCAGGGGAAGGGTGGTATGGAGGGGTGTTCAATAGTACGGACATGTAATAAGATGTAACGACCTCTCAGAAACAATTCTGCATGGGCTCAGTAGAGGGAGAAGATGAGAAGAGGCAGACCAAGAAAGATCTGGATACAGAACCTTAAGCATGCAACCATGAAATCCATCGCCACTGACTGTCACAGGTGGAGGTTAGCTGCTCAGACACGTTATAAGATGATGTTGGGGGATAGATCCACAGCTCCTTAACCCTTTTGCCCCAAAAAGGTGCAGACTCGGCAAATTCGGCAGTGGCTGAATTCCGTAAAGGCTGCTTATCCAGCATTTTTACCGTGCTGTGTTTCTGGGATGCCTAATTGATGCCATTGGTTGTGTTTGAGCCTGCACAATGGTTAGGAAGTCAGCCTATGCATATATTTACTGACTGTAGCACTTGACTATTTTAAAAGCATTTTGACCTCATAATTTGCCTGTATCCTTAGTTTTTGAATTATGATGGGGTCACAGTAGGAGTATCGCAGATACAGTTTCTTTGGCCCAGGGAATGAAATCCCATTAATTCGTCGCCCCATTCATGTTTTTTTTTTTTTCTGCTTCACATTTTATATTTTAAAAAATAGATGTAAATGATTTTTTTTTAATGATCAGAGGTTGCTTATTTATGGATTGTATTGAGAGAAACCATGAGAACTCATTTTTTTAAAAAGAGTTGCTGGCGAAAAGTGTTAAAATGCATGTAGTAGTAATAGGACTACATTAACAAAAGAACATGAGAGAAGACTAACCACCTGTGAAATGAGATGTTTGAGAATGGCTGCGAATAAAACCAGAAGAGATCGAGTGAGAAACGATGTGATTACAAGAACTATTGGAACCATACCCATCGTTAAATTTATTGAGAAGCAAAGAATGAAATGGTTTGGTCACCTAATGAGAATGGAACCAACGATGCCAGCATCAAGAGCATACAACA